CGGATGTTTCTTGTGAAGTGAGTCACAAGAGGGGCTGGATTTCAGCCAGCAGAGCCTTCGGGGTGAAGCACACATATGACCCCTCTCACTTCCCTCACTTAGGCTAAGGTGAGCTGAGTGTCTGAGAAGCATCCAACAGAGCACAGATACAATACAAACCCCTTCTTCCATGGCACATTTCTTTGTTTGCTTTTCTCTGGTACTGTGGAAAGATCAAAATATTTACCCTGCTCTCCCTTCCCTTCCTGCACGTCTGCCATTAGTGGCACAGACCTTGTGCTTCACTCACTTTATCACCTTTGCACCAGGGCAATAGAAAGTTCCGGCTCACACTGGGAAACACACCCTTGGATGAGGATGACGCCACAGGGACGTGGCAGGGCATCAACAGCCCCCGGGGTGCTTGGGGACTAGGGCTATTCACTGGAACTACTGACATGCCGAGAAAAGGTGTGTCTAATGCACTGCCCAGCTCCTCCGCCTGTACACGCCTGCGTGAAGCTGGTATGCAGCGACAGCACGGTGTGTTCTTGGTGACTGCTTTCAGGAAACCTGAGTGGTCATGCATGTTTTCACCGATAAGGATCTCACCACGCCCATGAGAGAGTGCTGCCCCGGTAGTAATGAGGAGAGGGACTGTGAATCCACACTCTCAGTTTAAGGTGCTTAGTGTCTTGATTTCCCTGGCTCTAAAATAGGGTTAATAATACGTCATTGAGGTTTGTGTTTCTCAGGTGTGGGATTTCATAGGCAGCTATGAAACAAAGTTTATTGTACTGAAGAGAAGTTGCATGTTACTTTAAGAGCCTAAAGAGACTGTATGAAATGTTTATTTTACTATTTATTGCATTGGAGTAATTGAAAACAATGTTTTAAAGGAGTGTATGCAGGCATCATACCTGTGTGTCTAGTATATACACACACACACATAAACACAGTTTCTACTTACCAATCCTTCAAGCTCATATCTACTAGAAAATCCCTTTGCTTTCTTATTTTTTTTAATCCTATATATTGCCTGTTTGAAAAGTCACAGGTGGAATCCTTAATGTTGAACACTTTTAAGATTCATCTGGATAGTGTGCTGGGACATCTACTCTAGGTCATGTTTTGCCAAGAAAGGTTGGACCAGATGATCCTTTATAGTCTTCCAACCTGATAGTCTATGATTCTATGATAGGTTGCTCAGAGTCTTACTGTTTTCCTTGGGGTTACAAAGCTAATTCCAAGCTAAATTCCAGGAGTTTGTGACCATATGAGCATGGCTAGAGTAGTACATTACAGATGACACACACTGCTCCATAATTCATCTGTGTTGCATCCCATGTCCCAGGAGCACTGCTCTGGACATAAAGACGCTTATGCAGAGGCCATGGATGGATGATGTATGAAACAGGAAAATGGAGTGGGGTACAGGCAGGATGGAAGAGTGGGAAAGGTTGGGCAGTCAAGCCCATGGAGTCTTCCATAGCAGCAAAAGAGCTCTTAGGGAAACCCTTCCTAAAGCTCTCTATCACTTCCGACTCCTGAGCCATGCTCTTTGGACAAGCCTCTGCCCTGGACACGTCAGTCACCTCACTGACTGCTTGCTTCCTTGCAGTTATGTCCATATTTCATGCATTAATGTGCAGCAGCACCACTTCCCTCTTGCTCAAGGCCCTCTGCTACACTGTATATTAGACGCTGTGGGAGTAAAGGGAGGACACAACCCTGCTCTGCTCATGGGGCTGCGACCTCATTGGGGTATTGCTGCAAGAATGGTTTTGTAGGTAAACAGACAGAAACCAGCTATGATCCTCCCAGGACTGGCAGTAGTTTCTATTGCTCTCTGCACCATGATGGCTTGGCTTTAGCAAAAAGCACAGACCACCTTGTGTTAATGAGTAATAAAAGCAATCGACCCGTATTGCATTTATCTCTTAGTTGGGAGTGTGTGTAGGTAAGATGGTAAGGCTGTTACATTAGCAAAGTTATGTTGCATTGATACCACACAGTTTAAGAGCCATTCAAGGCCAAGCTGTGATAATTATGTTTTAAGATACCCTAATGCTTTTGTTAGCGTCAAAGTGCTATATATGTTAAGTTAGTCAAGAGAGTAAGATATAGTTAGAATATATAGTACAGCCTACAAATCCATTTGAAAGCTATATGGAGTCATGTCAGCCAGGTTTTAGGCTATACAAAGAGGTAATTTTGGTAAAGCTGTTTTCCAGAGCTGGAGGGTCATCTGTTGTGCTAAACTAGGAAAGAAGAGTATGATGAGAAATGGCTGCAGGCTTTGGTTCACGAAGATGCTGACTTGTTTTAAATAAAGAGTATTAATATGTACTTTGCCAGTTTCTACTGAATGAGAATATTGTATTCTTTCTAATAATTCCAGAAGTCTCCGTGGGACTGTTTGGAGACATGGACCCAAAGAAGGACTAGATTTTGAACTGGCTACTTTGTCAGATGAAAATCACAAACCGTCTTCATTGTGTTGCATGCTCTGTAACAGTCTTACACCAGGGAAAACTGGAGGATCCTGGCCTGCACTGCTGTTGAGGTGAGGATGCTCTTGAGCCCAGAACTAGATGCAAATGGCTAGTGTGAATCCACTTCCCGTCCCGCAGTGACTCATGGCCAGGGAAGCACTGGCATCCTGCTCTACGAAGGGTCACTCTCCTGCCCTGCCCTGCAGGGTGAACACCCGGAAATGGATGGAGCTGGGACAGCAACAGGAATTGCTGGTCATGTGGAAAATAAACAAGACTTTTCCAGGACTGGGGTGATAGCTATGGAGAGATGGAGCAAAGCACAGGCAGCACTGGCACCTCAACATGCTGTCTTCATCCCTTAGTGGAGTTTGCTCGTTGGGCTGACCATTCATGGACACTTGAAAGGCTAAGTGGGAGTATATACTTAGAGTATGATGGACCTGTTACCAAAGCTTAGAAACATCACTTTGGCTGTTACTGTGGTCCTGCTGTTCCCCTGGGAGTTCTTCACTTCCCACCTCTGTAATATTTGTATTGGGCACACTTTCACCGTGAACCAAGTGAGGAAAAATGGCCCCAGGTCTCCCTAGTCTTATCCTCTCAAAGAGGCTTGTATTTCGGTGTGGGACAGAATGAGAAGACAAGGAGGTCCATATGGTTATAATACATTTCCTGGCTAATCCAGGTTCTGATACCATCAAATTTAGCTCTTGCCACCTCTAACGACTTAATTCAGATTATCCAGGCCTTTTCTGAGCTCCCTGCACCACTTTTTCTAAGTTACTACTAATAATAACTATCTAGGATACCTTGTTTTGAAAACTGGTGCAGCCATAGGTTCATTAATACAATGCAGGACAAGTACAGGAAGATGGTGCATATTGTTAGCATCTGACTCATATCAATGCAATCTATATATATGTGGCCTGTTTATAGGACATGTGGCCAGTGTCACTGTGGGTCAGAACCAATGGAAATACAACTCTACTCTTGTTACAGAAAGCCATAAAGTGAAGATCATGTTTGTTTATTTTGGGGAGCTCTGTTTGTTTGGTTGGTTTTGTTTGATTTGATTTGGTTTGGGTTTTGTGTTTGTCTCTTTTTTGGTGTTTTTTTTTTTCCCCTTACACTTACATGTGGATGTGAGAAGACTCAGCAGAAAGTATCATACCCACATAACCATATTAAAACACGCATCTGGCAGAGAAAGAAGAAGTTCCTCGTTTGTCAGTGTCTATGAATAGAATTAGAAAACAGAGAGCAGAAAAATGAAAGCTGCAGGGACTGCTGCATGCCCTGGCCTTTTGAACCTGATACTTTTGTTCTCTACCTAATGTCTCCTAAAGCATGCGTTAAGGACCTCTTCTGCAGTGTGAACTCTGAGAAACAGAGTGATCCCGGGATCAAGGCAAAAGAGTGTTAACTCTGACAGTAAAACTGCCTCATGAGGTTATGACAGGAATTGTACAGGTTATATAATAAACTTGTTATTGCTATTGTATTTGGAGAGAAATCTCGCAGGAGAAAACAAGCTTTGAGCTACTCTGCAAAAATACCGACTGGCTCCATCTGGAGGAGACAGCTGGTATTTCGGACACCATCCGTTCCGGCAAGCAGGCTGTAAGCAGAGCAAGAATCTGTTCTTCAGCCCTGTGTTGAATACTTGCCCACTACAGGCAGGCGTCCAGTGTTTTTAAGGCTCTTCTTTAAAAAAAATAGAGATTACTGAGGATGTGATGGGTTTTGTGCATCTTTGGGATGGGAGGAATTTCTAGTCTCCTATCTCACTCCCCCTTGGTTTTCCTGGAAACCCTGGAGCCCTGCTGGCTTTCTCAGCACTGTGTGAGAGGAGACACTGAGCGAGAAGACTGCTTACAGAGGCTGTGTCCTTCTGTCCCCAGCAGCCTTGTGACCTCTGCTCGTCCAGGGAGTCCTGCCGGAAAACTGGAAGGTTGCAATGGCAGTAAGCGATCAGGTAAAATCCAACCAACCCCCCCCCCCCCAAACTGGCACTTCCTTGGAAAGTTCTTTGAGCCAGGCTCAGGCCATGAACAAATAGAAGTCCAGAGCATGAAAACTATCTAGGTTTGGTTTAAATGCAGAATACAGAGCTCTATATCTGCGCTGGGATGGTTGTTGGTGTTGGCCCTGAAGGCCCATGATTGCTACTTTTTCCCTTCCCTTTCTAGTGACATTCCTGCATTGAACTAGATCATCACTGCATCAGAGACCAGTAGGGTATCCAAAAGGCCTGGGATCAACACCAAGATACTTTATAGTTGCTCAATGCTAGGCCATGAACCGATGTACAGGAGTAAACGTGCGTGCACATGAAAGCTCTTCTGTATGTCCCTTGCTCAGAACTTCTGCCCTGGAGAACAAGTTTTGATTGTTTTTTAATCCCTGTATTGCCAAAACCTGCAATGATACCTGTTTTCCTTGCAAGTCCAGGACTCCAGTTACTTGCATGCCACTTCTGCACAACCCATTTCTCTTCAGCCAGGCATGACAAGAGCTTTAACTGTGCAGGGCGGATTGGCTGCAACGGCTCCTGAGGGTGCCCTCACCCTCCTCCCTTCCCCATTGCAGGTTAGCATTGCTCCTGCCTCCATCACTAACGGATGGCATTTGCAGAAGTGACAAGTTGCTGTTCGCAGCCACTGGAAGAGGTTGGCAGTGCCCTGGGACAGTAAGGTTCTGCCTTTACCTCAGCTGTGAGAACAAGGGCTGGACACTGCTTTTCTTGCCCCCTGGATGTGCTGAGCACCTGCTGGCATGAGGTTTTTCCTCCAGTATGTGGGCTGTTGTTTTGCTTTCTTGTCTACTGGGTTTTTGATAGCATCTACCTGGACAGACTGCTGGATGGTGAATGCTGATGATTCCCTGGAGGTAAGATTGGGGTGAGGAGAGCCTGATCACCAAAATAAATGTGTCCTAGAGAGACTAAATGGTTCCTGACATCTTTTCTCCACTCCCATGCACTTTTTCCCTGTTGTGCTGGATGAAGGTGGATGAAAATGAAATGAATGACTATGGCAAGAGAAGGGGATAAGTGGTATTTTGTGTAACTCTCTCTACCAGACTATTATCCAGACTCTGCTCTCAATTAGTAAGTTCAGGAAAGGTCTACAGGCTCTATGTTTAAATGTGCATGAATTTCAGTACAGTTATCCTGCATCTCCAGCCTGCACGGATGGTTGGAAGATGTTTCTAGTTTTGTAAGTCAGACCTGGTGGACAAGTCCAGTGTGTACACCTGTATTCTTCAAGTCTTTCTTTTAACAGCCATTGAACTATAAGGTTAGCAGAAATTTATGGGATGCATGGGGACTGGCATCAGATCCAGCAGTCAAAAATACCTTCTTGAACTTGTGCGAACAATAGTATTCTCCTGTTAGAGAAAGGTATTGGCAAAAATAAGTTGCAAATAAGGAAGCAGAATGCTGCTTACATGCCAGGTGTACTCTAGACTCCAGACCCCCAAACCATCACCATTTCTCCATCACTCAGTTTGTATTTTTCTTCCCAAAGCAGCCAGCACATTTAGGGGCTGCAGTGTAGGCATCTGCTCTTTGGCAAACAGGATATTTTATGCAGTGAAGATGAAACACCTTCCAAGACAGAGAGTTTGGCTGAATGTATCAGGAAGAAACTTTTGATCTGCTATTCAGCACAGGAAACCAGAAGAGCTCCTCTGTAGTCTGTGATTGCAATGCAACGTTAAGCTGCATCACATCGAGTAATGAATTATCTGAGGAAAGAAGGATAAAAATTATTGTAAGAAAAATACATTTTTTTTCTCTATGCCACAAGAAATCCAGGCAATCTGATTGCCAGTCCCGCCCTAGAAGGTGGATGGAGATGACTGAGGTGGTCATAGATCCAATGCAGTGAGGTTGCTGATGATCAGTGTGTCTGCTCAGCTTCTTTGCAGAGTGAACAGCGTGCACCCACTGATGCTGGCTGGGATATCACTCTGCATTTATCATATTAAATTAACAAGATATTTTAGATTCATTTCAGGAAGATATGGATTGTCTGTAATCAGCAGGAGATATCAGTATACTCAGAAAAGCCAAATGTATCCCCGGCTGTGGGGAAAAACAAGAGGGAAACCCAGCTCCTGAACAGAATGAGTCCAGGAAAGAACCAGTGTGTTACCCTGAGGCTGTGTAACCTTGTCTTCTTGGCACAAAGGCACCTGCACTGGGCTGTGCGAAGTGCTCCATTAACACCCAGTTTGGTAATTAGCAGCCACTACTCTCACATTCCTGCTCTGAGTGTGAATACTAAACAATGAAGCAAAACCGCCCCCAGCCTTAATACCTGACCACTGATCTCCTTAATGGCCCTAATGACTCACTGCCTCTCTAAACAGGGGAATGCAGGTAAACTGTCCATGGCCAGAAAGGTCTGGGGTCCACAATGACTTCTGTTTTCAGCTGGAATAAGTCAGGCAGCTTCGACTTCAAGAGAAAGGAACTCTGTTCTCCAGCATTAGAGAGTCACAGAATCGTTAGGGTTGGAAGGGACCTCTGAAGATCATCTCCCCTGCCAAGCACCTAGAGCAGGTTACAAAGGAATATTTCCAGGCGGGTTTCGAATGTCTCCAAAGAGAAGACTCTACAGCCCCTGTGGGCAGCCTGTTACAGTGCTCTGCCATCCTCCACGCAAAGAAGTTCTTCCTCATCTTGAGGTGAAACTTTTCGTGTTTTAGTTTATGGCCATTGGTCCTCGTCCTGTCACTGGGCACCACTGGAAAGAGTCTGGCACCATCCTCCTGGCACTGCCTTTGGGATATTTGTATACATTAACGAGATCCCTCAAAGCCGCTTGGCTTTGACCCTGGCCTCCAGCAGCTGGGAGGGTGTGAAGCCCTCACTGCGGTTCTGCTGGAGAGGAGCAGCTCAGGACAAAGCAGCCAGGTAGTCGTGGGAGCAGCAACCTTGGAGAAGTTGCAGGCACCCCGGCCAACTCTCACAACTCTCACCTTCCCTTCAGATAGAACCAGGTCACGTGCAGCAGCGAAGAAAGTGGTTTAAGCTGGTGTGTTCCATGTGATCATCAAGACAAGCCTGGATCAATTTTTACGCTAGTTTGTCTGGGAAAAAAAACATAATGTCCTTCCCAACAAACGCTGTGTTGTGTACACAGTCCCTCCCTGTTGCAGGCAGATTAAAAATATTACCACTGTTAAGTGCTGCCTGTCTTTCTCTTGTGCTGGATTTGTAATAATCGTAGGTTGGCACCTTTTTATAGTGCGATATAACACTGTGACTAACATCGCTCACATGTTTGTCTTCTCCGCTTTCCCCAGAAGGGGAAGTGTGTGCTTGTTCTCTCATTTTTTTGTATTAGAATTATTTTAATATTAATTATACATTATGTATAGGATGTAATTGTATATACTGCAGTCATTATGCAGTTTATGTTTTACATGCATACTTGTGTTAGGGAAAGCAGGTCGTGGCAATGTGTTTCATAATCCAAGTGGGGGATGAGGAGTTTGGCTGTGATGCTTCACTTCTCAGGGAGTCTTTGGCTGTGCCCAGTGAAGCTGGAGTAAATTTGCTATGAGGAGAAAGAGGTGATAGTGAATTAGGGCTACTAACCTGAGACCAGCCATGGGATGGAGAAATCCATGTCCTTATGTGACACCCCAGCCACCTCTCTCCCCTCTCCCATTTACAACAGTGAGTTCCCATGTGCCTGCAGGTCTGTGCTGTCTGTGCAAGGTAAAATGCTCAAGGGTGGTTTGGGAGGAGATATTAACAACCTGAAGGGCAAAGGGTGCACAAAGACGTGGGATGGCCAAGGAGGTGAAGAGGCAGATAACAGAAAACTGAATAGCTCAGCAGTGGCCCTGGCCAACTACAGGTCCCCTCTCTGATGTTTGTTCCCATCCCTTCTGCAGCAGGCAATGAGACCCTTATCCCTGCCTGTGCATGGGCTGCACAGAGATGGGCTGATCCCTGCTTCTGCCCTTGTTCAGCACTAGCAGGAGTAAGTGATAACTGAAACATCCCAAGAAACACAAAACATTTATCAAGTCTGGAAAGGGGGGTGTTTCACAAGCTAGGTCATGATCACAGCTGTTGCATTGCAAGACTTCTGTTTTGCTTGAAGGCTGACAAAGCCTGGAATCCTGTTAGTCCTTTTATAAATAATTTAGACAAAGATGCTGCTTGTAAGGTTTAAAATACAACACAAATTCAAAGAAGTGAGGAAGTAACTGAGACTGTGAGCTGAATACAGAGTAGCATGAATAAGGCTGTGCTGGTTTGGAAAGAACATTAAATGATACAAATGCAAGTGGAAAATATGTAATTTAATACAAATATGCTAATTTCAAACACAGCCTGAATGGTGGAGTGTTAGGACAGAAGAGGAGCTGTGGCTGGATTAAGAAGGTCATGGTAGAAACATACATCTAGTACAAAAATGGCAAATTGTTTTACATACAACTGTTCTCTTGAAAAACACAGAATCAAGGAAACCAGGTTTTCCAACACTGCTTCTAATTTCTTGTTGGTATCTGTCATCAAACCTGCACTGAAATTCTCAGAAATTGTAAGTACTTTTCATCTTAATGAAACAAAACGTGTAGCTTGTTTTCATTTAAACATAATAGTATCTTTTTTTTTTTTACCAGCGTGAAGTAGCAAGTCATTTTTACTTGCCTTTTGTTCACAGTGCAGTATCACAGAGGAAGGTGTACGCTTTGGCTGAGACATTGTATTGTGGAAAAACTGTGTTGCAGTTGGCTATAGACTTCAGAATATCTTGAATGAGACTGTATTGATAGGTTGAGATATGTTATCTGCTTTCTGATTTACACAGTACAAGAAAAATGAACTTATTGCATTGTCCAAGCAAGCCTGGTCCCCTTCCCCAGCACGAAACAATTCCCTGGTAGAGTTTCTCCTTCCATTAACTGCAGTGGGTGTCGCTGGCAGCAACAGGGCAGGCTGGAGTTGAAAGCTGAACCAACAATAACGCTGCTCCTTGTATGAGCAATTCCAGGAATGTTTTAGAGGTGCTTGTTGTCATATTTGCATTGGTAATGAAAATACCTCCCATAATAAAGTGATTTATGGAAGGCTGGGCATGATATCTATGCTTCAAGACAGCGGAGACAATTAGCCATGATGCTACTGCAATGTCTGCCCAAGCCTGGATGTCTCAGCAGTGAGCATGGCTCGTGCACACGTGGTCCTGTAGCCTGCAGAGCACCCAGAGGCGTAGGACCAGGATCAACACCAGCTGCCTCTCATTTTCCAGCCAGTCTTTATGGCTGAGTCATTTAGGGGGAGCCCTGCACATGCATCTGGAGAAGAGCCTACTTCCACACTTCTGCTCAGCAGCAAATTTGTCCTTCACCACGCCATGGGCCACCTCCTATAGCAGGTGCAATGCTTGCCTTGACAGTCACACTCCCTTCTGAGCTGCTCTTTCTTGTCAGGAGGATGGTGTAGAGGGAGCATGGACAGCAAAGCCTCAGGTCATCTGGTATATAGCCCTACCCTGCTCAGCTTAGACAAGCATTTGGCAAGGAGTGATCAAACCTGCTCTTAGATCTCTCCCGTCAGCCACCCACCAACTTCCTTTAGGATTTTTATCCTCACCAATAGGAAGTTGTGGGTTTTTTTCTTTTCCTAATGTCTCGTCTGAATTTCTTTTTCTCTAATTTAAAACCATTAGTAGCGACACAGAAAAAATTGTGCTTTTTCTCCATCTTGTTACTTTTTTTCTTCTTCAAGCTTCACAACTCTGGTTTGCCGTCGACAGAATGGGACCAGGATTTCTGTCGAAGGGCCTAGCCGACCACCCACTGTGTTGGTGGGCATATTAACTTACAGTATTATTTCTCTTCTTAACCCACAGGTGAGTACAAAATGCCGTGGCCTATGGTGGGAATGTGTCACAAACGTTTTTGATGGGATCCAAACTTGTGATGAGTACGACTCTATCTTCGCCGAGCACCCTGGTATGTAAGAGTCAAAGATGTTTCTACGAGTGGTGGGGATACCCAAGTGTATACAAAAAGAATATCTGTTCTACTCAGTAAGACATGATTTGGTGTGCATGCATGTTAAAGCCGTGTTTCTTTTCTTAGTGAGGTGTTACTACCAGGGGAAGCTGGAGAAAGCCGCACTCCAGGAAAAAAATGTTCCCACAGGATCTGTCCCCATTACCCAACCACATTTCCATTTCTTGTGCACTACAAGGATTTGCTTTTGTCCTGCAGTGAAGCTGGTCCTGACCCGAGCCATGATGATCACAGCAGATATCCTGGCAGGACTTGGATTTCTCTTCCTTGTCCTGGGACTGGACTGTGTGAAATTCCTTCCTGATGAGCCACTCATCAAGCTGCGCATCTGCTTAGTCTCTGGAGTTATGTTGCTCATTGCAGGTATTTCCCTGCTGTGCCTGCATCTTGCAGGACAGCCTTTGGGAAAGCAGGGAAGCTTTAAAGCCTTCTCTTATTTTGGGGAGAGGAGCCAGTGATTTTCTAGAGGGTAAACATGGGAGAAGGATCCTTATTTGCTCTATTTGTGCAAATGCCTCTGTTCACTGCCTGCCCCTAACAGCACATATTTATCCACTTATATTTCATGTGTTGACCAGGTGACCTGGCTCTGAGTTGACTGACTTCCATTTACTGCTATTTTACTGTGAAGAAGTGAGTGTTGTTGACAAGGCAAAGGGATCTAATAGCAGAAGGACTACAATGTCCCAGAATCCTGGTTCAGTTCCTGGCTCTGCCACAGACTGTGTGACCTTGAGCAAGTCACTAAGCCCAAAATCTCTGCAGCCAATCTCTAATAAAAGGATAATAGCACATCTGTCCTCCTAGGTGATAATTACCCAACTAAAGTGCTTTGCTGTTACAGCCAGTGGGAGAATTTTAAATGCAAAAATAAATAGCTAACTAGGTACCAAGTAATTTCACTTAGCTTCATGCCAATATTGAGCATCCACCTCTTTCGTTGTAAACAGATTTCACATATAACTCACCCCAGCCACTGGGAGCACATGTAAAAAACTTGTGAGTTTAAGAATCCTCCATTCACCACCCAAAGTTTGTCTGAAAAACACTGTCAAAGTTCTGCAAGTCAAGAGAGATTAGAAAATCAAATTTGGAACAACTTTGCAACAGGTTGTTAAATAAGCTGAGAAGGGGGGAGATTTCTGCCTTATACTGCAGAAACCTAAGTGCTGCCAGCTGGCACTGATGGTGTCTGTGAGTACTGTGAGGTACAGCTTCTGCCTGACAGCTTTCCACCTGGTATCAAGTAGGAGCCAGGGTGAACACGTGGAAGTGACTGGGCTGAGACTGAACAGGGACCAAAACCTGCTGTCCAAGGAAGGTCTTTGCATCCTAAAGTCTGACTCATCATACAGCAGGCTGTAGCTCCAGGTTTTCTGTTTGTGATCTTGTGGTCCATCTGGGGGCTCTGTGTGGTACCTCCCTCCTGTCCTGCAGGTCTCCCAGGAATTACTGGCTCGGTGTGGTATGCCATTGATGTCTACGTGGAACGCTCCTCTCTGGTCTTCCACAACGTGTTTCTGGGCATCCAGTACAAGTTTGGCTGGTCATGTTGGCTTGGCATGGCGGGGTCACTTGGCTGTTTCTTATCTGGGGCCCTGCTCACCTGCTGCATGTATCTTTTCAGAGGTGAGGAACTGTGGCAGGGCTGAGACACAGTTCAGAGATAGAGCCACTGCTCAGGGTGTGCTACAGGTGCTCAGGGTGTGCTACAGGCACACAGGGTGGGGGAAGTCCTTTGGAGACATTCTTCCGGATGGTTGCTCATCCCCAGTAACAATGTCTTCAGCTGTAAAATGGGAAAAGTCTTATTTCAGCATCTCTAGAAGGCACATCAAGGTCTTCAGGTGGGATCTGAGGTGTCAGTGTCACGTTAAAAGTGTTATTATGTCATATCTTAGAGTGCTGCTTTCTCTGCATTTTGAGGCTTTGCAGCTGAAAGTCACCGAGCACTCAATAGCAGATCCTATTTCTCTCCCTATGCCTCACAGAGACCAGCTCTGGAAGACTCCACTCTGCTTACTCCTTAAGGAAAGGCTATTCCTCAGCTGGGACAATTGTAACAAGTGTGCATTTGCCATCCTCGCAAACAGCTACTGCCAAAATGTATGCAGTTGACACAAGAGTATGAGGAGGAGGTAAGCACTCCAGAACAAGCTCTACTTGCACTTGTATGGCTTGCACAGATACCCAGGCTCCTGGTTGCCACACAGATGTGAAGTTAAATTTTAAGGATGTACGGTATGCTATAATATTTGCATTATGAGAGCTTCGGAAAAAAAATCCTTGAAGAAAGTAACCTCTGAGAAGGTCTTGTTTTAGGGAATCCATTGTCTTGAGTGCCAAGACCACTTGCGTAAGCACAGACTGAAATAACCAACACAAAGTCTTTCAGCATTTGTCTCAACAATATCAGTATGAGTGAGATAAATCATCTGCTCCTGGATCAGATGCCAGTGTTCTGCACGGAGATCCCCAAACTGTAAGATGGATGTGTTCCATGTCTGCAATGTGTCAACAGACTGTGCAAAGCAGAAAATACAGGTGAAGAGAGGGACTGATCGTCCAGCCAACATCTGGACCATGCGTACCCAGCATGGGGGTCTGCGGCTCTTACAGGCAGCTGGAGAGTTCAGCAGAAGATAAAGAGCTGTGTTAAATGCCTGACCCTCTCTTTGGCCTGTGAACCTCTGCACTGAGGAAACACTGTAAATTCAGGTGCACATTACAGTCCTTCTCAGTATGTGCCAAAATGTATGTTACAGATGCTCTAGACTCACAGATCTGGAAATTGCTAGCTTCTTTATGCTTAGTAAAAGTTTTGCCTGGACAAAGTGAGTGAAGATCCAAGATCTGATGTTGTGCATGGCAATATGTCTATACCAGCTAGAAACTAGGATAAATGATAGTGATCTATCAACAAATATTTAAGTCTAGTTCAGGACTGCTGTCCCCTCCCACAGTCCAAGCTCCCATAGGCTGGATGAGGCTAGAGCATCAGCCGTGTCTTCACTAGCATGGGTGAAAAAAACCCAGTGTGGTTTAACATGTTCCATAAGGATGGATGCAAAAGTTCTTCTATGCCTTTAATGGAAATCGAGACATAATTTTCTTAGGGTTGGTAGGAACTGTTCAAATCCAGTCCTTTCTACTGTGAGCACCACATTATATAGTCATGGGGACCAGGGGTTGGGAAAGGCTCTCAGCACAAAGATATACCTGCCTGGGGTCAGTGGAGAAACAACAGTGGAGTTGCAGGAGGGTGTGCACAGCTGTGGGAACTGAGGCACCACCAGAGGTAGGCTTCCTCCACTAACTGCTTGAGGGGGAGACTGGATGGAGAAACTTCTGTTCTTCCCCCAGGCAAACTGAAGTGAAGCCTTATGTTATGAGTGCCAGAAGGAGATGGGATGGCTGTGGATGGAGTGGGCTGAGTCTCAGACAGCACCTCTGATAGTCCCTACAGTGGAAGATGAGGGGTTGAGTCCTCTCACAGGTTATCCTAGATGCAGCATCTTGTGCTGCAGCACAGAACTGACCAGCAATGTTAAAGCATAACCCAATCCTGACATGGCTCCTAATCAAATAACATTCAGGCCCTGGGACAGATAGGACAACAGCAGGTCCATATGGCTTTGCCATGGGCTCAAGCACCTCCACAAGGCTCAGGCCATAATGAGCCCATCTCAGCAAGAGCCCTCATGGCAGCACTGCTGCCCAGGCAAGGGAGGCTTCGTGCCTGCAGAGTTCATGCTGCTTCGATTGACAGACATTTATGTTAGCCAAACTGAAAGCAACTTTTTGCCAGCAGATGAGCGATATTGAACAGATGTAAACACAGTAGGAGAAGTGATGAATGCTTTTTTACAAACTCCTGAGAGACAAGAGTACAGGAGTTATGAACAATGTAATGAACCCATGGATTATACCAAGAACTCTCAAAGAGATCTGTAGGTGATAGAAATTTCTTCCTGCTATTGCAGGAAACTGCATCCAAAGCTTTTTTCTCTTTTAACTTTTTCAGTGACATTAGAACTGTATATTTGCTGTCAGGCTTTTGGGGCAGAAGAGCTGGTGCTGGTACAGCTGTGCCAAGGCAGGAAAGCTCTGTGGATGTTTTTGAGTCTGGCTCCTGGGCTGTGGCCCTGCTTCCCTGTTCTTTCAGGGATACACTAGGAAGGAGAAGGGAGGGTGAACCCACTGCAGAGGCAGAGCTGTATTTAGCATCTGCTCCAGTGCCCACTTGCAGTGTTCCTCCCCAGAGAGGAACCTCCTCAAGGCAGGAGAGAAGAAGCAATGCCAGGGACTGCCCCAGCCCAACTCACCCAGTGCAGAGATGCTCTTCAGTAGGAGGTACTAAGCAAAGACATCATCACCTGGACCAAAATCCTGGATCAAATCATTCCCACATTGTGCAGCCAGCACATTAATACTCCCCACTAACACTCAGGAGCAGTCTCTTGGTTTCTGTTTTCTATAGCTTTTTCAGAGGCATGAAGATTATCTCTTGCTGGAAAGATTTATTTCTTGTTTAGCAAGTGAAAAGTAGTCTAGGATCAGCTGCTAATCATAGAGTTATAGAGAATGGTTTGCATTGTAAGGGACCTTGAAGATCATCTAGTTATGTGAATGTAATGAAGATCTCAGATCACTGATTTCTCCTGGTGTTTTCCTTCCTTATGCTGTAGTTGAGGAGACTTTTGAGGGCCTTTGTCCTAAAGGTCTTCAGTTTGTTTTATGGTGCTGGGGACTGTTTTGTGACTTGCAACACTTGGATCACACCAAGCACTTGCTCAATGGGCACTTTGGGATCGGGGTGAATATAAAGGGCTGGTCTCATTAATCCCTCCAGCTCTGTGCTCTTCCTGGGGCTACATAGATAGGGCACATGCATACCCCAAATACTACCTTAACTCAGGGTCCATCATCCTCAAATACACTTTGCATATGAAGAACGTACATACAAGTATTCTTTGCATACAAAGAACATTGAATAAACATTTGTGATCCTTTCTCTTCTACAGAATCTATGTAGAATAAGGGTTAATTCTTTAACCATACTCCTGCTTTAGCCACACTCTATGATAGCTTTTGAGGATCTATCTCCTGCAGAAGAGGACTAGGGAAAGGTCACAACAACCCTTAGGTTTTCCAGGTTAATGTTTTGTAACAGCCAGTCCAATGATGCATTGCTTATTATTCACATCCTGCTGACAGTCTATCTGATGTTTTGATCAGTTGTTAATATTTAATTGTTAATCCACTGATTTAGTTCTGACTCTGATTTCATGACTGCAGTATTTACTCCTCATTAGCTCATTACCATGCCATAATGCAGATCTATTTTAGTTTGGTTGTTTATTCATTAGCAAGAAACCTCTCAGAAGGTGTGCAAGACTTACTTTTTCTTTCAAAATCACAAACTAAGGATGCTGCAGGTGAGCTCAGATATTAAGGTATTTCCTTAGTACCTACCTAAGAAGAAGCAGTTCAGAAGCAGCTCACTTGGAATTAGAATAGATTGACTTTGCCTTCTGATATCCATTGATGCCTTACCAAAGCTCTTTGCTGAGTTGCAATTTCCAGCTGAGGCCCAGCATTTAATCCTCCAGTGCCAGCACCCTTTAGGCTTCTCCAGATTTTCACTGACTTCCAAGGAGTATTTTTGTACATATGGGGACCTCGTAGCTTCATTTCCCAGGGTATAGGCAGGATCAGATACTTAGCTGAGAGCTGTGATTCTCAAGTTTCCTCCCTGCTGTATCTGCCCTGTGCTTACTCTTTGAACTTGGGGCTCCTCATTCCCCTTGCCACTGACAACACACAGATTGGTGCAGTCTGCCAGAGATCTGCCTGGTTGTATGTTATGGAAAAGAGCAAAGTCTTGTAGGTAAGCTCTTTGTTAAGTTGATTTCATTTTGTACGGATAGGTATTGGTTTCCCATTTTGATACATGCAAGTGAGAGAGATAATAAAACAATATCTGAAATAGCTGTCCTTTTCTGCATGCAGTATTTTGTCCTCTCACTACCTTAATCAGCCTTGCTCACAGGGGCTCTTAATAACTCTGCCTGTAATTAGAACTCACTCTTACTCTGACCTTGTGAACTAGGCTATCTCCTAGTGGAGCTGCATGAATATTTCCCAAAATACAGATTTCTCACCTTTTCACACACATTGAAATATGATTTAGTTCTGAATTCAGTAGATCTGAACAATTATTGTCAGTAGATAAGAATGCTACTCAAGAATTCTGTTTTCCTTACATATTGTAGCATTAGTGAGATGTAATAAATGCACCTGCCTTTGAACGTCATGTTTCTCTCACCCATATCCAGGTTTTCTCCAGAAAGGTGCTTTGCCAGGTGACCTGCTCTGACTCCTGTGGGGGAAATCACTGCTCTCCTGCAAGGACACAAAAGAGGCAGTAGCACAAACAGGACCGGCCATTGGGACAGGGGGGTGGGATTTTGGAGGCTACCCAGACCTTTGCTGGTAGCTGCAGACCTCAAGCCCCACTGCCTACCTGCAGCAATGGCCCTTTGACAGCTGTAGACTTTATGCCCAGTTTAAACACATCTACTTATAGTCATTTTATCACCTTTCCAAGTGAGAAAAGTAAAATTCCAGCAATAAAGTGAGTTTTTCTCTCTCAGCTGGGGCTGGACCTCCCCCTCCCCTGCCCCATCCCCAGTTTGCTCTTCTGCATCTGTTAAATATTGTGGACAAGAAAATAATGACTAAATTACTCTGTCCGAGCACTGCTACTGGGAGTAGAGAACAATTTTCTCCCAGTAGCTTTTGGGTCCTTGCTGTAAGATGCCTTTAAGTGAGAAAAGCAAGAGCCAGAATTGTGCCATCCTATGACCCAAAGAAGGGGAGTATCTGTCATTAGCCCTTCCCAGCACAAAAGGGTTTAGGCCATAATCCAGAGTCTTCAGATGGCAATAAAAAACAGATTAATGAGCATTTCTAGTATTTTCCCACCTTTCATGTGCAACCCTCCTGGCAGTTCTGACTGATCCCCTTTTATGATTCAGCTGCCTATGGTTTTGCTCTGTTTTGCCTGGGAGCCAGTTTATGACTTTATTGTTCTGTTCTTGATGTGCAGAGGTGAAAGTCCAACTGTGCACCTCACCACATTCCCTTTGTCTTTTGCTTTCAGATAGTTACTGACCAATTAGCTCCTCTGCACTCCTCCTGTTTCCCCCTCTCAAGGCTTACTGGCAAGTTCCCATCCCCAAATACATCAGCCTTCTAGTGTTTTCTGGGGTCTCCTAAAGCAGTTTGCCACTTCTTCTCAAAGTCAGAAGGAAGTGTAAGTCAGAGGCTGAGTGGCAGCCAGAAGGCCACAGCAGAACAAGTGTTTTTCCAAAGTGCACCCTATTCTTAAAATGAATTATAAAGAAATGGTTCATCTTTACTTATAACTCAGAAAACATCAGCCGTACTGCATTAACTGCCTTCATTAAGGGCTGAGTGCTTAGAAAAACATACCAGCCAAAATCTCTGCTTTTGTAAGAATGGGAACTGAGGTTTGGGTATCCTGGTACATTCTGCTGGAGCACCTGGGAGCAGGTGGCAAGCTTTTGAGGGCAACAGTAGATTGGCAAGACTATCCCAAACACATTTGTAGAATGAAGGAAGAAATCCATGCTTTTGTCCATTTCAGTGAGGAGGAAGCTAAGGTCCAGGGCAGTGCTCACTGTGCTCCCTCTCAGGGTACTCTCCTTCCCTACCCCAAGGCAGCAGCAAGGTCAGGTTATCCCCTCTAAGCAACCCTACACAAACTTCGGGGTTTTTTTTTTAGATGGCTTCAGGTCTTCAGCAGGGTTTGGAAGCACCCATGCCTCCCATCATGTTGCACAAATACCACAGTATACAGCTTCTCCCATGCTGGTGATTCTGTCTGGAGCCTAATTTTGTGACACCCATCAGCCTGCTTTACTATAAGCCACTTGATACAGTTTTGACGGAATAATTTTATTCCTTTTGTGAATAATTAAAGCACCCAAAACATGAAGCTGAATGCGCTTGAATGAACACTTGTATCAGGGAAACAAGAACTTGTTCCCACGAACGTTTGTGCAAGAGCAGAAGCCTCCTCGGTGCGTTGCTGAAAGCCTCGCTTGCCCTCTGCTGGGCAAGGATTTATTGCCTCTGTAATGAGTGCCACTTCCTGGAGCTTGTAAAAGAGGGATGAAGAGCGATGGAGGCATTGAAATTAGAGCAGTAGTTGCTTGTTAGCCTCTCCAGCCGTTTGATTAGAAGGTGACATTCAATGAAATTACAGGCAGCAATTTATTTAGAAGCAAGCAATTAATAAGCGGGAGACGGTAATGTTTTATGCAGCGTATAATGCAGACAACCTGTGGAGTTAACTTCCACCGAGGGGGTCACTGAGGCAAATGCAGTGTATAGGACAGAAGGAAGCAATGGCTGATTTAATGCCCAGTAGAAAGGCTATGCAAGCTGAAGTGACAAACATAATCAAATCTCATGCTTCAGGGCATAAATTGAAGGGGGTGAGTATTGGAAGCACTTATGTATAGAAAAGGTCTGATCCTGAGAGGTGCTGATTACCTGCAATTCCTAGTAAGCTCAGCCAGCGAAAGGACACTCAAGAATTGTTCAGCTTCTCTGCTGGCTGAGTCTATACTTGCTAATTTTCCTTATTAATATATCCTGTAATATTTTAGCCTGCTGGCACAAACATTCAGTTTGCTACAGTAACATTTATTTCCTTTCACACAACAGTCAAACAGTAAAGCTGCCTCTAAAATAAGATTTTATGGACATAATTTGCGGTGGTGCTGGCAGAGAATTTCTCTCTCAAAATAAGCTGTAATTCCTTATCTAGTGAAGATACTTATATAGCCTCATTAAGAAAATATGTGAGCACTTCATAACCTTTAGTGGATTTATCTTCCCAGTTTCCTTCCTGAGCAGGGGAACTGGTACTAACCACACTCTACAGGTGGGGAGCTGCTCCACAAGGCAGGCTGTGGGCTTCCGTTAGTCTTCTGTGGTACCTAACATGAGCCCAGCTGCCCACTTTAGTGTGAGCCCATGCTCTACAGGCATGCGGTGCACGGTACTGGGTGTGATATTTACCTTCTATACCAAGAGAGATCTAAGTGCAGCCTCCAGCCCTTGCCATTGAGAGATCAGATCAAAGGTGGAGAGGTCAGGCAGGCTGAATCCAGCCTTCAGTGACCTGTCCATGACAAAGGACATCTTTACTTTCATTTGGAATCCAGTTCAGGGGGAAATTCAGCATCTTTCCCCAGCAATTTGAGAACTGGGCAGGCTAATACCTCCTAAGAATGCAGTGCTGATCCTTCTTGAGTATAAGGCAGTCTGGATGGCTTCTTAAAATCTCTTTCCATCCAGCCTGCAGTGGTCATCTCAAAGAAAATTACATTCTTTATCCCAATAAATTTCTGTAGCTAAGCACCAAATACATAACTCCATAATTTATGTCTGTGGGGAACTGCCATATGGGTCCTGGGCAATTTAAACCCTGCAGGTCTGCAGTTCTAGGGCAAGAGTAGCTGGAGACAGTCACTATGAAATTAAGAACAGTTCAAATGAGCAAACTCACTTTTTTTTCTGTGCTCTCTAACCACCTCTTGCTTCTGATGCTCTCTCCATAATTCCCATCTCTTGTTTTCCCTTCCCTGGCTATAAATTTGCTGCTTTTCACACTAGGCAAATCTGATATGTTGTGCTAAATCTTTTAAATGTGGCAAAGGATCCTTCATCACAGAGTGGCATGATTGCATTACAATGTATTAGAACAACATGACTTTGCCAGAGGGTGTTTGTTGGCACCCTGCCGAATGAAAGAGGCAGCCCAAGTCTGAGAAGGAACTATCAAGTCATTTATCAACATTCGGTCCTAAACTGCACAGGTTTGCACCAACTCAAGCAACCTTACAGAGATAAATCTGGAGGCTGAGACAGAAACCCTGAATGCAGACAAGCCTTTGAGGGAGCTTCTTGAAACCCAGAGCCCCATCAAAATGTCAGGTTGAGTTCCTGTGACAAATTCAACACATGCTTTTGGCATTTATTCTGTTGCATTTAGTCTTATGTTTTAGGTTTAGAAGAAGTATGTGCTGCCTTTCAGTCTCTTGGCCAGCCTGCAGAAAGGGCTGATTTGATCTCACACTACTATAGCATAATGGAAGATCTCTGATGGAAAAAGTGGAATCACAGAAAGCAAACATGTGGTGTCTAGAGCTTGTTTTCCTTCATAATATCCTCATAGGATGGAGGCAACTCAATTTCCCCAAGGCTGAACCGTGGGGCAGGAGAAGAGGACATCTCTGTGGTCATGCAGGGGCTCAGAGATCCAGAGAACGGACACTGAGGTGCTTCACTCGCTGGGGAAAAAGCAAAGCAATAACCATACAGCAGACAGGCATGAAGAGTAAGTGTTGGGTGAAAGGGGTGAGCCTGGGAGGAGCTGCCCAACCGCTTCGAAACAAGAAAGGCATGGATGTAATTTTTTAAGTATGGCATCACAAAGCTGCTCACCACAAACTCCAGATACAAGAAGTGAGAACAGAGGAATTTGGGTGGGTTTGGGGTGGGTCCTCCCTGTGGAGACGCTATTCATAACCACCCAGAAAGCATGCAATACCTTCTCTGGGAAACACTTAGTCTAATGACTGGATTAGCTTTGTTCTTCTTGGAGGGACTGTTTGGCCCAGCCTGCTGATGTACTGGCAATACTCCAGATCAGTGCTGGGTGCTACACATAGTCATTGTAGCCCAGTCTTCAAAAGTCTGGATGCTCTGGGGCAGTGCTGAGGGTGCCTACCACAATGAACAGTGCTCACCAACACAACTTTCTGACAGACCCCAGGGTGCTGCTGGTGGCTCAGGTAGGCTGGTGCAGTTTTGCCTGAATGAGAAATGGAAGTCATGTGTTGGAAAGGGCTGTCTGCCCCCAGGCAGTGCCTGTGGCTGTGTATGTTTTGGCTGCTAAACACTGAGGAGAAGGTCCCACAGGCTTCAAGAGTTAGTGTGGCCAAGCCCTGACTAGCACCTTTGGGACACACAGGAACAGCACTGAGTTCAGCAAACGTACAGCTCAGGCAAAGTGGATGTAGCTGGCTTAAGCCCTCCAGTGCACAAACATCCCCACAAGATGATCGAGCTGGGCATCCCACTGCTCACCAGAAACACAGCACTCAGCTGCATCCCAGCTCCCACTCAACACTGGCTGCCTCTCACTGGGCTATGGATGGGCCCCGGGGAACCCCAGTGGGACCAGTGGGGGACTTTGCAGCAGGTAGTGACAGGACTAACCACAAAAGGCATCTGAACTGCTGAGTGCGAAGACAGCCTGGGTGCGCCGGTGGGGAAGGCAGCTCCGCCGTTTCAGCCAGCACTGCAGGCAGCAGCAGATCCCGCAAGACAGAAGCAAGGCCAGGAAAAACAACATCAGGAACCTGAGGCAGAGGCAGGAGGGAGGAACAGTACCATCACCATCTGCAGGCAGCACCGACAGATGGCTGCATGTCTTCAAATTAACATATTCATTAACTCCTTTTGCAAATAGCTGTTAAATGCTGCAGTTTCCCCACCAGCATACTGGACATGATCAAAGTCCCTGGAAACCAGTGTCTCAGTGCTGAGTGCTCAGCGCTGAGTGCTGCCCGGAAATTCAAACATTTCTCCCTAAAATCGTTCATTGGTTTTGTGGAGCTCAGTTGTCAGCATACAGTGAGGAGGATATGGATAAATGATTTCTATTAGTCAGTAAAGACAGAACACAGGGACAGCCCAGGAGCAATGCTCTCTAGCTATCAGTCTCTCTCAATGCCTTTCTCTTTCTATATCCATCAAAGAATATTATTTGCCAGTTTTCCCTTCCAGAACAGATCTGAAACTTACCACACATACCAGCTGCTAAAGTTTTCATCACTTTGCCTGATGCACCTAAAAAGGGGAAATATAAAAGAAACTTTCAGTCCAGTGTGAAGGGACTGTAATGGCTCCAATGCACATCTACTGACACAAAGAGAAGCATCATTGGTAAGCAGAGGGTTGAGAAGTTTTCCTCCATCAGGGGAACACTGTTAAAAGTTTCTTCATGTAGATGGAAGCAGATGCACATGAAGTAAGAAGCAGCCTGAAACTAGTTTGCCTTTCAACATTACCACCCACCACCAACCTTTTTAATGAAACCCAAAGGGTTGCCAGCTTTCTTTTCCTCTTTCGGAAGACAAGGTAAATGGCCTTTTCCTGGAAGCCCTCATTTCTCTGCCATGCCAGTGTGCCAGGCGGGAGCATCCCTGAAAGAGCTCAGTTTGGGAGCAGCTGAGAGTGAGAAAACAGAGAGCCACACTCACCTCTCACCAAGCTCACAGTCCGACGCAGAGTCTGCTAACTGAAAACACACATGTAAATCAGAAAGGGCAGATATTTGTCGGGTTCTTTATAATTAAACAGTATAATTACTGATCTTAGAGTGGGAAGTTGGAGAGGAGAAGCCGTAAAGGTGCCTCTGCTTGTCTCTGGTCTGATAGCCTGCATCAAAAGCAGTGGATAACCTCATAGAGAGCTTGATAAATACAGTAGTTTGCAGATGAAAGCTAGGACAAGGGGAAAGCATTTCTTTTGATGTGAAAGAGGGAGAAACAAGAACAGGGAGACTCAAGCAGGTGTCAGAGACCTGTTTACAGAACTGGGCTTTGTTATTCATAAATGTCTGTTCAAAAGGTCCTGTCACCAAATTCTTGGCTTGTGGCTCATTTTCCAGTAGCTAATTGTACATGTAGCTGTAAATTGGAGCTGTTTTGACCAGACTTGTTCTCTACCCAGCATTTTCCTTTTTTCAGATAGTAGCGGTGCATCATTCCCAGAGTCAGGTTTCAGGTATTGCAAATACGTGAACCTGAAGCTTGTTTTTCAGGTATATTTTGTACTATTCACTCAAGCAAGCTTCTTTTTGCAAGCCTTCTTGATCTTTGCCTCAGTTTCAGGTTATTTGGGGAAAAAGTAACTGGAGAGGCTCATCAGTATGATTCAAGCAAATCCAATGCAATTTTTGGCTGACTCACATTATTTGTGTTATAACACCTGCCCAACTTTGCTACAAAAAACTTCTGATCAGATATAAAATTGCAATAATACTGGCAAGCAGAATGAGCAAGATGGAAAATTTTAGTTTTATTCCTTGGAGAAAACTTTAGAACATAATTTGTAAATCATTACTTTGGATTCGCTTCTGCATATATCCAAAGCACGCAGAGATTTCTGACTTTCTTTAAGCCAAACTGGAAAGCTGTGTTCTGTATTAGAAATTTGTATCAAATACATATAATTGAGAGTTATCATATTACATCTCTAATCAACAGGACTTCTTTGTAAGGATTTTGTTGTCCAAAGCTTGTGTCACTATAAGCAGGAAGAAATCAGCACACAAACCTCTATAATGTGTCTGATCCTGTGCAGACACTGCCTTTCTGTCCCTAGTTTCACCAGAGGTCTTTAGGTATAGTAAATCTTTCATATAAAGCATTACCTGTGAAATTTCATGAGCAATTGAAGCCCAAATGAGGAATAGAGAAAAGGATAGAAGCTTCAACTCTTCCAGACATGTCCTTTTAAAACTGAGCTAATTTGCCATGTCACACATATACCCTGATGCAGAACACTTTAATTTTATTTTTGCACTTCACCTGATTATTGGAATAACAGGTCAGAACCAGACAGCTGATTGCTGTGATTACATGTACCCTGAGTATTCTTCATGGCTGAATGACAACCTCTGGACTTTCCTTTATCATCCTTCAAACTACCTCAGCAGAGCTACCTTAGAGTAGTTATATTGCAGCAAAGTGCATCTGCTCTGAGGTAGTAATCTATCAATGCAGCAAACCACCTACCCATGCTGCTGAAAGCTCATGCTCTTCCATTTCAATAGCCATAGACAGAATAAAGGATTAAGGCAGTTGCGTTTTCATTAACTGGAATTGTTGTGAGCTTTAAATCCTCCCCAGATCTGTCAGGTCCTCAGGGAATTCTTTCTCAAAAAATAAAGAGCTGATGACTAAATTATATAAAAGTTGAAGTCTTTCCCCCACCCCAAAATCCCTAAAATCAGCCTGGTCCCAGTGAAGGGTTTGGTTACCTGCAAGAAGCTTAAACACAGAACTCCAGTTCCTGTGATCCATGAAGTGAGACACAAAGCTCCAGGTCTTTGCATCACTAGCAGGAGAAACATGGGAAGAGCTTTGTTTGCAGCAGTGTTTTACCCTCTGTAATTTGGAGCTTTTAAAACTTCTTTGCATGTTGTGCCTTCAGCCAAAAACCACACTACCAAATGGGTTCCTGCGCTTTAGAAATTACTGCTAGCCAGGGCGTGGATTTGGGTTCGCATGGACACACGCAAATAGCTGCTAGAAGTTAAAGGAACACTAGTTTAAGGTCAGCACCTTGTAGTTATTTTGGTATTTTCATAGCTGTTCACAGATCCTGTTGCTGAAGCTTAGTTCTATATTAACCCACGGCTGTATTTAACAGGCCCTGCTACAAATAATCACTGGAGACTATATTGTGAGGCCATGCTTTCATTGCAAGCTGCCTTCGGCTGCGATTCTGGCATTACAGAAAAAGCGGAGCTACCTCCAACCATCTCTTTTGCGCTATGACTACCACTTCAAACACGTGCACAAGGATGAAGGAAACTCTTCCCAGCCTAAGACAACCACCACCCAGTACCTCTGCTGCTGCTACACAGCTGCCAGAGGCTGGTTTGCTAGGAAAATGCTTCCAAAAAACCACACATCCCCAGTGGTTCTCATAAGGGATACAAAATTTCATTGCACAATATAAGAGCCACTTTGATCCTAATGGATACATCCAGATGACATAGTAAAACAGGGGTGGAAGATGGCTTGCTCCGTAGTTCTGATCACTGCAGAACGGAAGATGCCAGTTTGTTTGGCTGTCAGTAGTAGATTGTCGCTGAAGTTTACAGCCTGTGGCTGAAATGCACCATTAACTATGGTTCTTCCAGATTTAACACAAAGGTGTTGCTGTGAATACGTTTAGTTGTCACTCCAGAAGTTAAGCATTATGTTGCGATGCCATTACTTCAGTAATGATTGACAAAGCTAAACTTCTCTCAAGATACTCCTCTGTGGCTATGCTTCAACTAAAAGGTCAAGAAGTCTAACCAGCTCTGATACACATATTCAGTCCAGGTTTGCTATTTATTGTTAAAGTTTTGCATAAACCCAGTCCAAACCCTGGTGTTCTCAAATGTTTACTTTTAGCTCACTACTAATTAAAGGCAAGCCTCTGAAATGATTCCCTCTGAGAAAGCATCTCTCATAATGGTGCTGCGTGTGTGCGCTACACAGTATAAATGGTCTGATCACATTGTTTGTCCTGGTTCAGACCAATTATTTTCAATTTTGTTCAACAGTAGATTGCCCAAACAATTTTCAGCTGTTTTCGTAAAAGAAAAAGCTCCTGAAGTACAGAAATGTGCACAGCCTTGCTGAGAACCTTGCGACTCATACAATTTAGGCTTCTAAGAGATCATTTATCATTGAACTAATTTCAGATTTCTTCTTTTCACGATTACTTCCCTCATGCCAGCACCCAGGGTACATGCAATTTAGAGCTACTGGATGAATCATCCCCAGCATTTCAGGGAGCAGGTACCACAATGAGCTCCTGGTACTGAAAAATACCACATAGTGTCTATTCTTGATCTGTTTCTAGAAGAAAAGGGGAAAAATTGAATTCTGCCACTGCTGTTTGTCTGGCTTTGAAACAAGCTTTGAAGTTTTCTGCCAGTTGGTCCCATACAGAGGTTTCAAGTAGTGCTGGCAATTTGTGGAGCCAGTTCTTGTATTCTCTGTAATGCTGATGTTGAGGGGAGAGAGAGTTGGCTAAGAGAGGTCCACAAACTGCCCTGTGTTTTGCTTCAGGCATGATCCTGATACTGAAAAGAGCTGCTGCTTCAGCAGGAAAACTCTCCCTGTCCATGATCTGCTGAGCAGCTTGAATACATGAATGTCATAAAGAGCCCCAGCACTTGCTCTAAGGCAGCCAGAACCTAACACTGAAAGCCCAGAGGAGCTCTGCATTGAAACCTATGGAGGGCTGTGACTCTTCCTGCCCACTCCCTGCCTACTGTGACACTGCTGCCTTTGGGTTTCTGTAATATTGAGAGAAACATCTTCTGAGGAGTTCTGCATCCAAGGAATAACTCCAGTCTAGGCTTTCTGTCATTCCCCTACAAAGAGATACATATGTATATACCTACATGAAGGTAACCCCTGCTCCCACCTCTTCATGCATTTACTGATGTAAAGTTAGATATCTCTTGCCTCCTCTATCAACTATACCCACCTCATCAGCAGACATGGGAGGCTGCTCTCTGATAGATGTTAACTCCTGGCCATTAGATTAAAAATCTGTTATTTCCTCATCACCTTATGTCGTTGCTAGGTGACAAATGCATCTCTCAGGCAGCAACAGGGACTACTGCAACATACAGCAATTTACGACTGTCCATTATCTTTTTGCTTAAAGTGCCTGCTCCTTTCAGTGGGAGGAAGATGTGCAGTTCTAGGAGTATGAAAAGGGTGACTTTTAGAGTTGCCACAGTAACCATCTCTACTGAGGGCTGGCTCTTGCTGGACTTCATGAGAAGGGACGCAAGACTGGGAGAGAGGAAGAATTTGAGAGAAGCTGATTTAACTTATTAAGTCTGATAGGGCTGAGGTTGGATTGGGAGTCTGAATTTCAGAAACCGATCTTGTTCTTGTACATATGTGTGCTAGAAGTGATGGCTTTTGCTTGCCATACAATAATTTTCAGTCATACTTTTGGTTTGAGCCACGGTTTTAGGGAATACTCTGGAGACCTCTGGATTTTGGTGAAAGTGGTGAGGAATTCACTAACAAGCAGGAGCCCACACAGAGCCCCCAACAGCTTATAAGCACAGTTAGCAGTTTAAACCTGTTTAAGGTTCTTCCTTAGATGCCTTCAGAGCATTTGTTGACTGCTGGGAATGACTTTTGGGAAAGCAATCACCTTGCTAAACTCTGACCAGTTTCTCTATACAGTCCTGAACGGGACTGTGAAAGTCTTTTCCAGAAAGCAAGGAAGAAGGGTAGCAGGAGGAGAGGTAGGACAGACACAGGGAAGGACATGAGATGCAAGGGAGAATGCACAGGGTTGTGGTGTGGAAGGGAGATAAGCAAAGTCAGGGCAGCCCCGCTCTCTACATTAAGGTCAGCTGACAAGAGTTAATTAAGCATGTGTTGCCTTTTTTATGTTGCAGTGTTTCTGCATCACCACCACAATCAGTTTTTCCTCCAGCCCAAGTCCACTGAGAGCTCGCCCCTCCCTACACAACTTCACCACCATGGCTGGTGCAGTCTTTGCTTTTGCAGCTGCATCCTCAGCACCTAGGCTCAGCCAGGCTGCAATTATCCCTTCTGGCCTGGCCTGGGAAGACCCAAGGCAGGTCAATTCAGTTTAGCCCAAGAGAAGAGCAGGGTAACAGGAAGGACTGAGGATTGACTTTCTGCAACACAACTAAAGAACCTTTGGTCTCATCCTCACAAAACGAAAGCTGCAAGGGGCTGCTTGCTCCCTGCAAACACAAGAATAAATCCAGCAAGAGGAGTGCTATTTAAGATAATGGCCAGTGCTGGCATGGGAACAAATGGAAGCAAACTGGCCATGAATAAATTGAGGCTGGATATGCAAAGAAGGTTCACACCATCCAGAGCAGTGAGGTTGTGTAGCAGCTTGTCCGTGGGAGGAGTGTGGGCACAAAACCAAATGGCTCCCAGGATGGAAGGCATCAAGCTCCCACAGGGGATGTAACTCCTTCAACAGAGCTGGCTGACCCAGGGGGTCCTTTCTGACCCCGTGGAAACCATCGGACTTGGACATTAAACCCATCCGCATGCACAAGAGTCAGCCAGCACAGCCTCGGGCTTGTGTGAGTGAGGAAGGATGAACTCTTTAAAATAAGCCTTAGTAGAGCTGGCACAGCCTGTTGTCTTTCAAAAGGATTATAACTAGTTGCTGCTCACTGATGAATACGGCCCTTTGTGAGGCTGTGCGGGGGACGTGCTGCACAGGGGGAAGGAAAGACTCCAGGCACTGATTTAAATGAGTGCAAACAAGGATGACATTGTTCTGCTGCATCCTCCCCAGGAGCAAGGCTTTGCAGGTCACCCTCAGATCTGATGCAACTGCAACTATCTCTGTTGTTTCAGATGGTCCAGAGAGCCCTAGTGTTTGTCTTGGTCTATCAGTAGGGAAAATCCAGAAGAGAATGGGGTCAGTGAAGCCTTTTGCCTTGCAGAAAGCTAAAGGAAAAGTAATCTTCTTTTAGGTTAGTTAATTGCAAAAGGGATTTCTCCTATATATTCGTGCGTATCCCGGACTGAGAACTGCAGAAAACTGTCTTTAATACACACGTGTTCATGGAGCCTCAAGTCCTTAAAACACACGATCATGGGAAGTCAAAACTTCAAAAATGTCCAAAGTATAAACCCCATTGAACTGTTGTGAGAAATTGTTGTGAATTATCCAAACACCCCTGTTCCAGCCCTATAGTGAACACCTGAAATAGATACTGCAGAAACTGAAATACTGAGCAAACATGAAAATATTAAGGCAGGAGACTTCTTGCTCTGGAATTCACAGGGGGAAGAAACTTTGAGAAATGGGTCTAACAAGCATCTTGTGTATGCCCACAACTCTGATGCCGACTCCCCATTAAAACCGGAAAAGAGTGTGCAGTGTTTTACAAAGAGCTGTGCTGTGGTGGAGCAATGGGAAGCTGAAATACAGTGTTTTGTTGAGGTTTGTTTTGAAAAAGTGGGTTGAACCCCCTCCCCCCCGCCAAAAAAAAAAAAAAAAAGCCTAAACAACTGGATTAGGGCTAAGCTTGGCAGTTGTTTGGCTTTACTGGAGAATTTAGAGCTCAGAATTGCATTTGAAGATCTGCTGCACCTGAGGAGTAAATTGTTGTTTGGCTTCTCTTATTTCTGGCTTGGACATCAGGACTTGCAATAATTCCCAGATGACTTCTCACATAGTCATGAACATTACAGCCTACCTGGAAAAAGAGTGTAAGAGACCTTTCATCTCCCAAGCTCCACAGAAAGGCACTGTACCTCCCACAGAGCATGTCAGAAATCAGTTCCAAGGGCTGGATAACCCTCAAGACTTGAGGAACAGAAAAGCAGAATTAAGGATAAAGTTGATAAAATTAAAAGCAGCTTGAATAAAGCAAAAGATGAAGTATACCAGAAATACCAGCAAAGTAATCACCAGCAGAAATTTTCCCCTTTATTTTTTTTAATGTGAAATTGAAGCTGATTACAGGTA